TTCTGTTCTCTCCAGTTTTGATGGCTGTTTCTTGCATAAAGAGATGTGTTTAAATATTATGTAGAATTCATATTTAACAAACAGCTTTGCAAAGCTGAGTTGTGACATTTTCCATTTTGCTGATTCATTTGACTATCTGAAGAATATTTTTACAATTTAATATCTGGGCTCCTCATTCAAACACCCGGTGTTTGAAATTGAGATATGCAAAGTGAGACAAAAGTGATGATGTCTTACTACAATTACTTAATATTTATACTTTTATTTTCTAATTATGAACTCAAAGTTTTGATCATAATAATTCTATTTTTAAATCTATCTATCTATCTATCTATCTATCTATCTATCTATCTATCTATCTTAGAGAGAGAGGAAGGGAGGGAGAGACACACTGATGTGTGAGAGATACATCAATCAGTTGCTTCTGCCCCCCAAACTGGGGACCTGGCCCACAACCCAGGCATGGGCCCTGACTGGGAGTCAAACTGGCAGCTCTTCAGTTCACAGGCCAGCACTCAATCCACTGAGTCACACCAGCCAGGGCTGTCATAATAATTCTAACCTGTAACATGTATATTTAATGAATGCTGAGTAGATTAACGTAGAGCCATGTGCAGTCCATGAGCTCAAAATCAAGTTACCTTGTATATAATAAATATATCAATTTCATTCATTCTTTCATTCAACCAACATTTACTGAGGGTCTCCTAAGACATAGGCACAGTTCTAGGTGTTCAGAATTATATCAGTGAACAAAACAAACAACATTTCTTGCCCTCAGGGAGCTTACATTTGATTGGTGCTTACATCCATTTAACCAAAAATTCCAAATAACCAATTTTGAGAGTGGACTCCACTTTTATGAGGAAAGAAGACAAAAGACAAGAATCCTAAATCGTCTGAAAGTTGCAGCATGGAGGAGTCAAAGGACTACTGGATTTACAGTTGGGAAACACTGATTGTAGTGGCGCTGTACTAATCCATCATGTTATTTTCTGGGTCTTGGTTTTCTTATCTGTTAAACAGTGGCATTGAATTTCATAATCTCAAAAGTTTTTTTCTGAATTGAATAGTCTATTATTCTGTGATATGTAATAGGCATTTACTCACTTATTTACTTAATTGAGGTAAATTTACATAGAGTGAAATGCACAGATCACAGAGATTTATTTTTTAAAAGTATAGAAATGTTCACCCTGGCTAGGTAGCTCAGTTGGTTGATTAGAGAGTACACCCAATACACCAAGGTTGCAGGTTCAATCCTCCATTAGGACACATACAAAAATTTACCAACAATTGCTTAAATAAGTGGAACAACAAATCAATGTTTCTCTCTCTCTCTCCCTCTGTACCCCCCCTTAAGCCACCTTCAAAATACACTACATTTGGTGCAATACACCTATCCAGACTTTTTTCCACTGCTCAAAACAGTTTTTGAACTCATTGGTTTTGACGCCTTTTAGTGCTTCTGCCGTGTTTTCGTTTCACCTTTTCTACATCAGAAAACATTTCCCTCTGAGGACTTTTTTCACCCAGGGAAACAAAAACAGTCACTTGGGGCAAGATCAGGTGAATGGGGAAGCCAGAGTACAGGGGTCGTGCCTTTTTTCGGTCAAAAACTGCTGAACACCTAGTGGGGTGTAGGCAGGTATACTCGTAAATCACCATCACAAAGTGGGCAAACACTTTGAAAGAATCTTCAGGGTCTCATTGAACACTGGGGAGCTGTCCTGATTCGGGTCTCTGCGAGCTGTGCGCGCACTCAAGCAACCATGTCTAAGGGACCTGCAGATGGCATTGATCTTGGCACCACCTACTCTTGTGTGGGTGTCTTCCAGCATGGAAAAATGGAGATAACTGCCAACGATCAGGGAAACCGAACCACCCCAAGTTATGTAGCCTTCACTGATACCGAATGATTGATTGGTGATGCTGCGAAGAATCAGGTCGTTATGAATCCTACCAACATGGTTTTCGATGCCAAATGCTTAATTGGATGTAGATTTGATGATGCTGTTGTCCAATCTGATATGAAGCATTGGCTTTTCATGGTGGTCAATGATGCTGGCAGGCCCAAGGTCCAAGTAGAATACAAGGGAGAGACAAAAAGCTTCTATCCAGAAGAGGTATCATCTATGGTTTTGACAAAGATGAAGGAAATTGCAGAAGCCTACCTTGGAAAGACTGTTACTAATGCTGTTGTCACAGTACCTGCCTACTTCAGTGATTCTCAGTGTTAGGTTACCAAAGATGCTGAAACTATTGCTGGTCTCAATGTACTCAGAATCATCAATGAGCCAACTGGCGCTGCTATTGCTTATGGCTTAGACAAAAAGGTTGGAGCTGAAAGAAATGTGCTGATCTTTGACTTGGGAGGTAGCACTTTTGATATGTTCATTCTCACCATTGAAGATGGAATCTTTGAGGTCAAATCTACAGCTGGTGACACTCACTTGGGTGGAGAAGACTTTGACAACCAAATGGTCAACCATTTAATTGCAGAGTTCAAGCGCAAGCACAAGAAGGATATCAGTGAGAATAAGAGGGCTGTTCGTCGCCTTTGTACTGCTTGTGAACGAGCTAAGCATATTCTCTCTTCCAGCACCCAGGCCAGTATTGAGATCAAGTCACTCTATGAAGGAATCGACTTCTATGTCTCTATCACCCATGCCCGATTTGAAGAATTGAATGCTGACCTTTTCCGTGGCACCCTGGACCCTGTAGAGAAAGCTCTTTGGGATGCCAAGCTTGACAAGTCCCAGATCCATGATATTGTCCTGGTGGGGGGTTCTACCCATATCCCCAAGATTCAGAAACTCCTGTAGGATTTCTTCAATGGAAAAGAACTGAATAAGCGCATCAACCCTGATGAGGCTGTTGCTTATGGTGCAGCTGTCCAGGCAGCCATCCTCTCTGGAGACAAATCTGAAAATGTTCAAGATCTGCTGCTGTTGGATGTCACTCCTCTTTCCCTTGGCATCGAGACTGCTGGTGGAGTCATGACTGTCCTCATCAAACGCAATACTGCCATTTCTACCAAGCAGACAGACCTTTACCACCTGCTCAGACAACCAGCCTGGTGTGCTCATTCAGGTTTATGAAGGTGAGTGCACCATGACCAAGGATAACAATCTGCTTGGCAAGTTTGAACTCACAGGCATACCTCCTGCACCTCGCGGTGTTCCTCAGATTGAAGTCACGTTCGACATTGATGCCAATGGCATCCTTAATGTCTCTGCTGTGAAAAGAGCACAGGAAAAGAAAACAAGATCACCATCACTAATGACAAGGGTTGTCTGAGCAAGGAAGACATTGAGCGCATGGTTCTGGAAGCTGAGAAGTACAAAGCTGAAGATGAGAAGCAGCGGGACAAGGTGTCTTCCAAGAACTCACTTGAATCCTATGCATTCAACATGAAAGCAACTGTTGAAGATGAAAAACTTCAAGGCAAGATCAATGATGAGGACAAACAGAAGATACTTGACAAATGCAATGAAATCATCAACTGGCTTGATAAGAATCAGACTGCAAAAAATGAAGAATTTGAACATCAGCAGAAAGAGCTGGAGAAAGTCTGCAACCCAATCATCACGAAGCTGTACCAGAGTGCAGGGGACATGCCAGGAGGAATGTCTGGGGGCTTCCCTGGTGGCGGAGCCCCTCCCTCCGGGGGTGCCTCTTCTGGGCCCACCATCGAAGAAGTTGATTAAGCCAGCCTGTTGAATAGATTTAGCATTGTTCCACACAAAATATTGAAGGACCCAAATTTGTAGCAAACTCCATGGCAGTTTTAAAAGTTGAACTGCTGTATAATAAAACAGCATTCTTCATACTTGAACATGGACTATGTGCACAAGGAAATAATGCACTTTATAAGCACTGTAAAGTGGAAAATGCAATGTCTTAAATAAAACTATTTAACATTGGCACCATAAAAAAAAAGGAAAGAATCTTCAAAAAATTTCACAGAAGCTGAACACAGACTCTCACAACAGTGCCAGCTGGTACACTGATACAGATGGGTTCCTAGAACACTCATCTAGAGGGGAAAGCCTGGACTACAAGGGGCCCGCCCTCCAGAATATACTTCTGGGGTTTTTTCGGTGCCCCCCTCATAACTTTTATAGCTAAAATACAGTATTAAATTATATATTATGTTCAGAGTAATGATCCTGAGACAATGCAGAATGCTGAATCACTAAGAAAAGATTTAATTATGTTCATTAGACTACTTATTAAAGCAAGAAAATGCACTGAGGCAATTTAGAGAGATTTCAAACAAAAAGCATCTTCTCATTATCCCATAGTTAATCAGAAACCCAATTAACCAGTTTGCTGTTTTTAGTCTTATGTATTCTTCTTTATAACCATGACCAAATCACTGATCCACACCTCAACCATTTCATGTTTGTACTACTAAAATCAACGGATTATTTCTCCATCAAACAATATGAAATGCTTCCATCAAAACAGTTACTTCAGAGACAGAAAAGCAATTATTTAAATAAGAAATAGATATGAGTAAAGTAATAAAATTCTGAGTTTTATTTTTAAAAATTAAAATAAAGGGGCTAAGACCCAGGAGAAAGTAGATATTTAAAGGGACAGTTACCCCAAAGAGAAGAGATTTAATGGTGCAGATACCCAAGACTGAGCTGACACTTGAGGAGAGGATTTTAGCCAACTAAAGCCTTTTAAAGTGGTAGGTGCCGAGAAGAGCAGAACATTTTAAGGAGACTAGAGTCAAGCTTAGAGGACATTTACAGAGTCATGGACCGAAGATTGAGAAAATGTTTATTAAAGAGAAGGGGTAAAGGAGTCACTTGTCAATGGCCTGGTTAGGAAGACCTTGAAAGGATCATCCTCAAAGAAAGAACATGCCCTCCTATAATCCCTCATTATAAAAAATTTTTTTAATAAAATAAAAAATAAACATAAGTGAAGTGATAGGATCCTGAGTTTTGCCTGAAAATGCTCCAGATGTATACTCCATTGGGTATGTGTCAATTAAAAAGCAAGTAAAATAAAATTGGAACGATACAGAGATTAGCATGGCTTCTGTGTGAGGATGACATGCCAATTTGTGCTGTGTTCCATATTTTTAAAAAAAAGTAAAAAATAAGAACTAAAACATCAAATAAGCTGTTATTTGAGTAAATCTTAATCCTTTCTAGTTTCTAAATATCAATAAGCATCAAAATATACTAAATAAGGACCTCAGGAAAATGTTCCTCACCAGTGAGATTGAGTGTTAGAAATGCTAGTCTATGTTCTTTTATCCACTGTACCTAAGAAGCTACAGCAGAATTCTTTGGCATCTTAGTAGACACTTAAACTGGTTTAGCTCTACAGAATAATAAAACAAGGTTTAAAAATTTAAATTTTAGGTATTCAATTTTTGATTCTAACATTCAGGGACGATTTTAAGCTTGTCTTATTGTATTAAATCTGTAGACTCATTCTTCAATCTGAATTCATTGCAAAATTACACATTTCTTTTACAGGATATCCTTTGTAGCATTCATTTTTGTCTTCAATCAGCAAGAAAATTTTAGTTCTTCCTATACTTATCATGAATATCTGTCGCCTCAGAATTTATTATTGTCCACAATAACATTTCCATTTTTTGAAAAACTTGACTTTAATATCCTCTCTTCATGTTGTCTTTCATTGGACCTTCTCTTCCATTTTCCTTTTTTCAACTACTTCCTTTCATTTGCCAGTTAAGTCAGTCTTTCAGAAACATTATTTTTTATCCCTTTCTCGTTTTATCTCTCCTGGTTCTCCTTTACTGCTCACTCTTTTAAAACACCTCTCCTGATTATTCAACTTGTCAACCTAAATATTTGTATTGAGTACCTAGTGCATGTCCAACAATGTGAGAGGTGAGTATGCAAGGGATGTAAGAGAACCAGACAAGGAGCCTGCAAGGCAAAGGGCTTACAGCCTAAAGAAAGTGACAGCAAGCATATCAGAGCAAACAAAACCACAAGGAAACTATTGCATTAAACCATGTGATCTTAGCAATCAGTGTAACTCTATTTCAGAAAACCAAGTAGATTGAGGACAAACAAAAGCCATTCCATCATATTCCAGGAAAGCATATGCAAATTTGCAGGGGTGTGAATTCTTCTTGGTGTTTCCTCTCAACTTTGAGGCCTGTGTGCGCTAGTGGAAAACAAGAGAATTCTGTTGGCAACTACATAGACCGGTGGATTTATGTAAATTTTAATATGTCTTCTTTCTAACTGTATTGATTTGGCTGGACCCCTAAACATGATTAGGCCATTGAAAAAGTGTCCAGGTACAAATAACAGAAAATATGAATGTGTGTGTGTGTGTGTGTGCCTGTGCCTGTGCGTGCGTGTGTATGTGTAAGAGAAAGACACACACAGAGAGACAGAGACAGAGAGATACAGAGACACTAGCCAGGTAGGACTCAATAAAAAATGCATAATCTGAACAACACTATAGTGACCCCACCTGCTCCACCAACATAAGCCAATGTGTCATTGGATAGGTTTATCACCAGACAAGCGGCCTGACTCTCGTATACCATATAAAAAAGTAACTGTTTTCAAGACATTTCTGAAGCAGGTACTACCCCAAATAGACATGTCTTTTTAAAGCCATACATTGACTTGGGGACCACTTGTTTATCCTTACCCTGACCAAGACTGACTTTCTTAGGATTGACTTTAAAAAAATTTTTTGACATTATTTCAGATGTCCCCCATTTCTCCTCCCTACTCAGGACTGACTTTTAACTTCAGAAGGCTTGTGCCTGCTATGCACTTGGCTTCTTCCCTAGTTTATTCTAGTTTTACAACGTGAAGATTTTTAATTTCTGACCTGGCAGGGATGCTCCACCCCATGCTTTCTCCCAGAAGTTCACTGAGATCATCCACTTAGGACAAGGGGAAAATAAATAAATAAATAAATTCCTCATTTTAAAAATGTAGGGAAATGGTGCACTCTACAGGACAAAGTGGCAATTGCAGCCCCTGTGATCTATAGAACAGTGTCCAGCGCTTTCTATGGCCCTATATTGTTTCTCTCCATAATGTGGCGCTGCTGTTCTAAACGTCATTTACAGACACTAGAGGAAACACCCCAAGACAGTAAGAAGAGGTATATGGGACAGGGGCACAAAAGAATTAGGAGGAAGGGGAGGTTAGGAAGAAAGCAGGCTGTTTGGGGCAAATCGGGCTTCCTAGTAACTTAAATCAAACCCATTGCAAACAGGAGAGTTATGCCTTAGCCCAAGCCGTTCATTCTGGGGTCATTTAACCCCACAGTTCCCAAACCTGGTTAACCCACAGAATCACCAGGGGAAGTGTTTTAAAGATGCAGATTCCTAGAGTCTATCCCGAGAAAATGACTCAAAAATTTGGAGAGGGGCCCAGTCTTCTGTCTTTTTAAAAAGCTCTCCCAAATACCATTGGGGGCTCTTTTGTAGAGGATTGGAAGGAAAAAAAATATTTAAGGGGACTCAGTCCTTGCAAAATTCAGTGAACTCAGCTTCCATTTCTCAATTCAGTAACAGCAAACGTAATGAGAATCCATTCTGTGTTAGTGAATTCTCTAGGAAATAAAAGCACACTTTATTGAACAAGCCCATCTACATCTTAAGGAGCGTACTAATCACACCTCTCTTAGTGTTTTCTGCCGTCCATTTGAGCAAAGAATTTATGATCCAACAGATTCACAATTCCCTAGTATCAGACCTCACTGTCTCCCTTTTATGTATTGATCAACCCAGTTAGGGGACAGGGGTGATCTGGCTATTTTCTGGAGCTGAATTTGAATCCTAACTCAACAACTCATCAATCACTGGACATTTAAAAAGTTACCTAACCTTTCTGAATGTTTATTTATAATAGGAGATAGCCATATCTGCCTCTGAAGGCTGTTATAAGACTCAAATGAGATAAAGTCTTTTGCACCCTGCCTGACACATGGTATTTATTAACAGTAGTAGTAATATTAGCCTACTACCTTGATTTCTAAAACTTTTCTCTCAGACCTGTATAATCTAATGACTCACTATGTACGTAAGTCATTCTGTGTCCAATGCCTTACTTTGAGGAGAACTGCTTGGCCTTGCCTCTAACAACCTGTAATGAAAATAAAGTAAGGAAAGTGTCCCTCCCTTCTCAGAAGACAAGGTACATAAAATAAATATATTTATTAATCCTCAACTCCCTTCTCCACCCCTCTCTCTATCTGTAATGTTAGAATGATGTAGTTGGAACTTACTTTAGTAGGAGATTTCAAACTTTGGTGAGCAACAGAACCAGCAGAAGCACACATTAAAAATGCAGTCCTGTAGGCTCTGCAGGGCTCTGATCAAGTGAACCTGGTGTGGAGCCCAGGAATATTCACTTTAACAAACCTGTAGATCACACTTTGAAAAACATGGCTTTAAAAATCACCTAGTCTCAGAGTACGAACCTCATATCTATGACAGCGGATATAGGGCAGCGGATGAGATGAAAAAGGAATGCTGCTTACCTAATGAAACTGGAAAGTACATACCCTACATAGCTTCTTTTCTTTTCCTTTTCTTTTTTTAAATTAAGTTGTAACACATTTTGAAACAATTTGCTAGACAAATAAAATTTTTCTTTGAGCCCAGAAAGCTCAAATGACTTGCTCCACATTAGTCCAGTCGTGGTAGAGCTGGGCCCAGAGCCTTGCCTGTGAATGCTCTGGCCACTGTGCCAAGCTAGGGCGTTGTGGGTGTAGCTCAACAGTCTTCTCCTTTGGCCCAAGACTAAACCGCACACCTGGCAGGAGGAAAGGAAAAATAGTATTGAAAAAGCCCAGCCTAGAGGGTTACTCTTGCATGGCATATCCCCGAAACAGAATCTTAGAGATGTCCCCAGTGTATCATTGAGTAGAAAAACTAAACTGCAATAAAAATGTAGAGAGTGAAACAGTAGAATATGTGTATACACACACACACACACACACACACACGCATACATATACATATATATGCACACATACAGTGAAAGCAAAGAAAAATGTTTGGAAAGATACATCTCCTAACGGTAAACACCTCTGAAGAATGGGACTGGGAGGAGGAGAGCATTCTTTTTTTATTTTATATATCTCTGGATTTTTAATTAAACAACTAGAATGGATGATTTTTGTACTTTTGTCCAAAAATAAAATACAGATATTAGATAGATGGCAGTGATGATAATATAGTTATTTAATCTGTTCAAATCTCCACATAAAAACCAAGAAAGCACAGATAACAAACCCAAAATACATGGGGCACATTTTGCAAAACTAAGTGACAAGGTATGCCAGAGAACCCCAAGATACACAAGCAGGTGAGAGCACATCACCAACAGCCACATCTGCATAATTTCAGCACTGGTGTGGGAGAAAGCAGAGGAAGCCACAGGACTTCTAACAGACCCCAAAACTGAAAAGCCCCCAAAGAGCCAACAGGAAAGTGAGGTGAGTCAATTTAAGAACAAGAGATTAAACTGGAGGAGTTTGGCCTAATCCTATTAGTGCATGAATGCACAGAGCCCATGCTAAAATCTGAAGTGGCTAGGGCAATCCAGCCCCTATAAACTCTTGAAACTGACCCGCCAGGGCTCCATTCCAGGACATGGCCACACACTGAGGAGAAGCTTCTGGGTGTAGAATCAAAATTAAGCAGGATTAGGATAACAGAGCCAAGGGAAAAGAAGGTTCAGATCAAGCTGGGGAGGGGGACAATGTCAGGAAGTTGCAGAAAGCAAGTCATCATCATTTAAAACACCATACTTGCCCTGGCTAGTGTGACTCAGTGTACTGAGCCGCTGGCCTGTGAGCCCAAGGGTCACCTGTTGATTCCCAATCAGGGCACATGCCTGGGTTGCAGGCCAGGTTCCTAGTTGGGGGCATGCAAGAGGCAACTGATCAATGTATGTCTTACACATTGCTGTTTCTCTCCCTCTTTTTCTCCCTCCCTTCCTCTCTCTCTAAAAGTAAATAAATACAATCTTTAAAAAAATAAAACACCACACTCATATATCCTAAAATTTCAAGAAAATCAATAGCATAAGACAATAGGCAACAGAAAGGTATCAAGGTGAAAT